CTGTGGTCCCAGCTACTTGGGAGGCTGAGGCAGGAGACTCGCTTGAGCCCAGGAGTTGGAGGTTACTGTGAGCTGTGGTGCCACGGCACTCTGCCCAGGGTGTCTCAAAAAACAAAACAAAACAAAACAAAACTATAGCTCAGAAAACATTCCTATGTGCGACAGTGGCAAGAGCTTAGCTCTCTGTTTCATAACACTTATACAACATACAGAAGATACTACTATGATGTGAATAACCTGAGGTTAGGATTTTAGATTAAGAAAAAAAAAAGTTTTACAATTCTCAGAACTTTTTGAAGTTGTTTCAAGGAAAATGAAAAGTAACACATATGAATATTCACTCTGGGTGAAGAATTTTCTGCCCCTCAAACTCTACCAGACTGGGCTACAGATGAGATTTTCATGTCTGTGTTAACTGCCATTCCCCATAAAACAGTCTGCCACAGCAGTGAGGCAAGTAAGGTATGCTGGTATCTTTAAATAGGACAAGGTTCTGAGAGTTTAAAGATTGGGCCAGTGTGTATTTAACCACAGGTTTATAACTCAGATTAATGATAAGAGACTGATATATCATTTTTCTTTGGAAAATAAAATAGGAAAAATATACTTACAACATACCAAAACTTTAACTTAATGTTAGACATTAATACATTTTTTATTTTTTTGAGACAAGAGTCTCACTTTCTTGCCCCCATAGAGTGCAACAGCATCATAGCTCACAGCAACCTCAAACTTTTGGGCTCAAGCGATTTTCTTGCCTCAGCCTCACAAATAGCTGGGACTACAGGTGCCCACCACAACATCCCACTATTTTTAGAGATGGGGTCTCACTCTTGCTCGGTTGGTCTCATACTTGTGAGCTCAAGTGATCCTGCCTTGGCATCTAAGAGTGCTAGGATTACAGGCATGAGCCACCACGGCTGGCCTGTTAATATATTCTTAAATGCACAGATAGACACTATTCAAAAGGTACAGTTATATAAACTTTACATAGAATTCCCAAGGTGGAACAATCCTTAATTTTGTTTTTTTTTAAAAATTAGTACACGTATTTAGCCCAAAGTGTTTTTAATCAGTCACATGTTTTTGGTACGTGTGTCGAATGTTACAATTGATCCTTTCTAGGCAACTGGGACATCTTGTGAGAATAACTTGATTAAATAATTTATCTTCAAGGTAAGCTTGCAAAGCAAGTTACAAAGGCAGAGAATTCAGGCCACTTGAACTATACAGGACTTTATTCCAAAGAATGCCATTGGATACATAGTTAAGCAATCACAGTAAAAACTACCCTCTTGTAACACAAGATTCTGACCTTGGGATGCTTTAAATTTCAACAAAGAGGGATGGTTGTACTAAGATAGCGATAACTTTTGTTTTTTTTGAGACAGAGTCTCACTCTGCTGCCCCAGGCTAGCGTGCCATGCCTGCACAGCTCACAGCAATCTCAAATGCCTGTGCTCAAGTGATCCTCTTGCCTCAGCCTCCTCAGTAGCTGGGACTTACAGGTGCCTACCACAATGCTGAGTGAGTTTTTTATTTTTAATGGAGACAGGGTCTTGCTCTTGCTCAGGCTGGTCTAGAATTCCTGAGCTCAAGCAATTCACCCTCCTCCGCTTTCCACAGTGTTAGGATTACAGGCTTGAGCCACTGCACCCAGCCAATAGTAACAGCTTTTAAATGTTAAATATTTTCATTTAGTTTCTGATAAGGTATAATTTACACTGTGGTGTGTGCACTCAGAAGTCAGCAAAGGTTATGAGTTAAGAACAGTGATACTGTGAAGCTTCAGGTCAGAACTGAGTGAAACTAGGCTGACATTGGACCGTGCCAGTTTTGCATCGACTGGGAGTGACCTTGGGGCTAGGCTCACCACGTGGTATGCACTCAGCCACTTTAACTACATGTTGCTTTGAGGTGTCACAGCAATGCCCTTGCTTTGGTGTCTGTCTTGTTTCTATTTGGAGTGTAAAGAGCACATTTTTTTTACTGTTAAGTCTTGGTTATAATCCAGTGGAATGTCATCATGACACAGTGGTGCTGGGAAACCTCATGGTGCAGGTGTTCACAGGGCATCATTTGGGAGCTCTGAGCTCAGACAGGAGCGGCAGACAGGAGCGGCCTCTCGCCCCTCCTCATGTGCACAGTTAAGAGGCTACATTGATCTATGACTGTGACATGCCTTTAGTCCGTGCACTTCTAGTTTCATTCCGTTTTACAGAGTTGGCTTTTTAGACTTCAGTTTTCCAGTTTTGAAGAACTTCTTTAATTCCCGTAATTCCTGGGGCTGCAAACTCTGATCCACTCCTGGGGTCAATTTGTAGCTCAGAGGAGATACAATGTAACCATTTTGGTAAAGACAGATTCTCTTGCAGAACTCAAAGGTGCTAAACATAACTCCAAAATATGGAACTATCTGTTAAAACATAAAATGAAAATCATGTTAAACTCTTAAAAAGAAAACATCAAAAAAAAAAAAAAAGAAAACATCAATGTGTCTGCAATGCACTTGGATCAGGGTAACCGAGACAACCACTGTGAACAATAAAACATGGTAACTCTCTGGAATCAGGGAAGATGGCAAAAGGAAAGCTGCCCCGGTGTGTATGGTAGGGGAGGAATGACAGAGTGACAGAAGGACACGCTCTGGGGAAGCACTGGCTCTGCATTCATATGCCTGTGGACGGTTCCACACTACTTGTCAATATATGCCGGCCCTGGCTGGAATCATTTACAAGCCAGCTAGTACAAGGATAGTCCAGAGTTCTTAACCCTTTTTATGGTCTTGGAATTCTTTTTAGTGTTGGAATTGACTTTTTTAAGTGTTCTCCAGTTTCTTTGTCTTAACAGGTTCATCCTCTGTGAAGCTCCACATTCTGGGAATGTGATACACATAATATGTACACACACCACACACACACATTTTTGCATATAATTTTAGGATAGGGTTAGGTTCCCCTTAGGGGTCCATGAACCCCACCTTAGGAATCTCTACCTTAAGTGCTCAGCTCTTCTCACATGGGGTATAAGATACCTCACCATCGCACAGGGCCTCCTCTCTTCAAGGCTGACAGCCAGACTGCATTCACAGGCCCTCTGCTACCATTAGTGCAGGAGGGGGGGTTTAATGCAAACTCTGGCAGGAGTGGGAGGTGACAAAGGAAGAGGGTAGATTAGGAGAGGTAGAGGGGTGTCACCTTCAGTAAGTTGGCTGTCAATCCATTCCAGAACCCCAGTATTCCTTGGGTCTTCATTATCTGCCGGAAGCAGTCCGCTGCTCCTGAGAAATGGACATCTATTCCTCCGCAGCGGGGAAGGAAGGGGCTCTGAGCCTGGCCGGACAGAGAAGGTGGAGGAAGTGATTTAAACACCAGGAAAGAAATGCCCGAGTCAAAGTAACCAAGGTCTGAAGTATGTGTGCTATGGTCCTGGCCACGCTGGTGGCAGAGAATGGCTGCTGCAGGCTTCTCCGTATTCCATGGGCTTAGAATAAATATTAACATGCCATAGAATCATGACACTCTGTTCAAATTTTTGTGATTGATTTTTGCCTGGAAGGAAGCAGGCATTGGGAACAGACTCGATTTCATACTTACATTTCCTCCCAGCCTACGGCTTCTCACCATGATAAACGCGCTCCTGCGGCCTTGACATTTTTTAGCGTTCTCCAGTTTCTTTGTCTCAACACGTTCCTCCTCTGTGAAGCTCCTAAGAAGGAGCTGCTCATTTCTCCACATCACAGATGTCACAGAGCAGAGCGATGGTGACATTTGTCTAGTTAACTGCTTTTATTTTCAGACTTTCCAGCCTCCTTCACTCTCATACCAGAAGTGCTTAACTACGGCTCATGTCACTAAACCACACTCTGTGTCCTGCTGCCATCTACTTCCTGACCTCCTGGCTACTATCATATTCACTGAAGACAGTGACGCTTGGTGGCTCTCCCTCTCCCAGCTTCACCATTATCTCAGGTAACTTCAGCATCTACAGAGACAACCCCTGCCACATGCCGTGTCCAGACCTCACCTTCATACCACTTTGGCCACCCTCTCCTCAGTCACCCCATGGACTTCCTTGCCACCTTCTCAACTATCTTGACTGAACCCTGTTATTCACAAAATGCTCCATCTCAGAAACTAACTTTTTTGTCCTTTAGAAAAAAGAATTTTAGGTCGGTGCCTGTGGCTCAAAAGGGTAGGGCACCAGCCCCATATGCCAGAGGTGGTGGGTTCAAACCCAGACCCAGCCAAAAAAAAAGAATTTTAGGGCAGCGCCTATGGCTCAAGGAGTAGGGAGCCGGCCCCATATATGGGAGGTGGTGGGTCCAAACCCGGCCCCGGCCAAAAAAATAAATAAATAAAAAAAAAAAAAAAAAAAAAAAATAAGAATATAAAAAAGAACATGAGATGAAATTCGGGTAGACACACATAAACTGAAATAATTCAAAACCATGGCTGGTGAAAATGTAACAGACAGGAAGTTACAGTACAATGCATAATACCAA